CAGGGCGTTCTCATTTGGGTTGAAACTCGTAGCATGAAAGTCTATAGTCCGTTTTTGTATAATCCCCTGCGAGTTTGGATGTAGTCGCCTTGGCGTCTTTATTCTGCCGCTATCTTGCCCGTTCCCGAGCTGGTCGAGCTGACCAGCGGCTTTGCGCGGCGCCCAGGTGCTCCGGCGCCCAGGTGCTCCGGATCGGGTCTGAAGTTTCAGCGGTTTTTCTCTCACCCAGGTATTGAGGATCAGATTTGTAGTCTTTCTGCAGCCTGGGCTCCACTCACTGAGCTGAGCCGTCCAGCTTTACCTCCAGGGTTTAGCGTGGGGCAAAGCGGCTCCTGCAGCCCGCTGAACTTCCAGGGGCCTGGGTTTTCCCCGGAGTTCCCTTCTGGGAACTCCCCAATCGCCGATTCCCTCTCTGTTATCTACCTTCTAGTGAGTCCAGGGTGTTTTCGTTTGGGTTAAAACTTGTAGTAAGTGAGTCTATAGTCCGTTTTCAGTCCTCAATTCCTATGCAGGCTTGGACACGGTGATCTTGGCGTCTTTACTCTGCCGCCATCTTCCGGAAGTCCCCTAGACATTAATCTTTTTAATGGATTAGTCTACAAAATTTTGCATGGATTTTGTTTCACAGTAGTGTTAACTTTTTTGAACTATATATTTTACCTCATACTTAATCACTTTTCCCCTCTTAATTGTGATTTTCAATATCACCATTGAAATATTAGATTATTCATAATATTTAAGTAATACATACACAATCTCTATCCCCACCCCATTTTTTCCTAGAAACTCCTTTTCCTGAGTTAGAGGGAACTTTTGCAGTCATCTAAAATATATGTCTGCATACATATAAGTATGTGGGTATATATATATATACACATATATATTCTGAGTTGTCCATAATTCATGATGTATTTTCGCTTTTGAGAACCATAGAAAAAATATGATTTTCTAACAATCCAACATAACCTCTCTCCCTCTGATTTCAGACAAAATGTTAGAAATGCTGATGTGTTTTAAATTTTACTTTATAAATCACATATAAAATAATCTCTATTAGAAGTCTAACAAGAAAGTGGCATTATGTTAGCTAAACATGTGGGGGGAAAGCACAGACAGTAAATCCACTTATAGACAAGAAATACAGAGATGCCTTAGAGAGTAACCCTTCTGTAGATTTTCCAGTTCCTCTCAAATCTGCTTTCTCCCTTGGGGTTTTGGAAACAAAATGTACTCTGTAACTAAATTCCCCTCTAATTAACAAATGGATTCCCACCTTTGTTGTAAAGACATATATTGATATTCTTGCATGGATAACCCCTACTATCAATTTGAAGTTTTAAAAATTGTGGCTTATATTAATAACATCTGGGATAAAAAGTTTGTGACTACTAGTATAGTGGGCAAGAACAAAGTTTTGCTGGAATACATAATGTTGAGAAGAATTGATAGATAGTCCCTCAAGAGTGTTTAAGAGAAACTTAGAAAATGCTACAAGAATTTTGAAAATTTTCATTTGTGTCACAATAGTGTGAAATAACATAAGCAATGTAAAATGTGTTATTATTTGTAGGGTCATTATAGTCTTGTTATTTTCTTTCTTTTTTTAAACTTTGCAATTAATGAGGAAACATTAGCTCATTCTGAATTATTACAATTACTATTTAATAAATGCATAGGATATACCTACTTGGGAACATGCTGTCTTGTTTATCCAGCTCATATAATGAACTAGGATTCCAACAAAAATGGGAGCTCCCCCTACGACCCAGCAATCCCACTCCTAGGTATCTACCCAAAAGACACAAAAACACTGATTGAAAAAGATACTTGTACCCCCATGTTTATTGCTGCTT